CTTTTTTTCAATTGCATTTCATTTGATCCTATCTCCTTTCCAGAGTGTTTGTAAGCCTTTCTGTTTGGGTTCGCAAGATTCCGTTTCCTTCCCGAAAGGAAATGAAATTTCCTTTCGGGAAGGGAAACGGAATCTTGCGATTTCAATGGGGACCAAGAGAGGAATCTTTGGTGCATGTCCCTGCACTTGATGACATGCCATGCCTTTTGATGCCTTTGACTTTGGGAAAGATTTTTTCTTTTTTTTTTTTCAGTTTTTTTCAGCATCCATGCCATGTCCCTCATATCTTCTCCTGCAAGTTTTTTCTTCCTCCTTGCCTTTTTGCCCTGCTTTTGCAACATCTGTGAGCTTAGTTTTGGCATGTTTTGCTCCTTTGCAGCGCTCTGATATAATCCCGGTGCATTTTCTTATAGTCACCAAATGGCCCAAATTTCCCAGTTTTTTTTTTTTTTCTCCTCCAATTGCAATTCCTTTGATGGTATCTCCATTCCAGCCTGTTTGGCAGTCCTTCCTTTCTCTTTTGGCCTTCAGTGGGGATCAATTTTGGCAAGCTTTGCTGCATGTGCCTGCGCTTATAGCGTATGGGAAAGATTTCTGTCTTTTTTTTTTTTCAGTTTTTTTCAGCATCCATGCCATGTCTATTATATCTTCCCCCCAAGCTGTTCCTTCCTCCTTGCCTTTTTGCCCTGCTTTTGCAACGTCTGTGAGCTTAGTTTTGGCATGTTTTGCTCTTTTGCAGCGCTCTGATATGATCCCGGTGCATTTTCTTATAGTCACCAAATGGCCCAAATTTCCCAGTTTTTTTTTTTTTCTCCTCCAATTGCAATTCCTTTGATGGTATCTCCATTCCAGCCTGTTTGGCAGTCCTTCCTTTCTCTTTTGGCCTTCAGCGGGGATCAATTTTGGCAAGCTTTGCTGCATGTGCCTGCGCTTATAGCGTATGGGAAAGATTTCTCTCATTTTTTGTTTCCTTTTTTTTCAGCATCCATGCCATGTCTATTATATCTTCCCCCCAAGCTGTTTCTTCCTCCTTGACTCTTTCCCCGGCTTTTGCAGCGTCGGTCAGCTTAGTTTTGGCATGTTTTGGTCCTTTGCCATGCAGCTCATTTCTTCAGGGACCATTTCTTGAAGACACTAAAACTCCTGATTTTCTGGATTTTTTCGGCTTTTTTTCAATTGCATTTCATTTGATCCTATCTCCTTTCCAGAGTGTTTGTAAGCCTTTCTGTTTGGGTTCGCAAGATTCCGTTTCCTTCCCGAAAGGAAATGAAATTTCCTTTCGGGAAGGGAAACGGAATCTTGCGATTTCAATGGGGACCAAGAGAGGAATCTTTGGTGCATGTCCCTGCACTTGATGACATGCCATGCCTTTTGATGCCTTTGACTTTGGGAAAGATTTTTTCTTTTTTTTTTTTCAGTTTTTTTCAGCATCCATGCCATGTCCCTCATATCTTCTCCTGCAAGTTTTTTCTTCCTCCTTGCCTTTTTGCCCTGCTTTTGCCACGTCTGTGAGCTGAGTTTTGGCATGTTTTGCTCTTTTGCAGCGCTCTGATATGATCCCGGTGCATTTTCTTATAGTCACCAAATGGCCCAAATTTCCCAGTTTTTTTTTTTTCTCCTCCAATTGCAATTCCTTTGATGGTATCTCCATTCCAGCCTGTTTGGCAGTCCTTCCTTTCTCTTTTGGCCTTCAGCGGGGATCAATTTTGGCAAGCTTTGCTGCATGTGCCTGCGCTTATAGCGTATGGGAAAGATTTCTCTCTTTTTTTTTTTTCCTTTTTTTTCAGCATCCATGCCATGTCTATTATATCTTCCCCCCAAGCTGTTCCTTCCTCCTTGCCTTTTTGCCCTGCTTTTGCAACGTCTGTGAGCTTAGTTTTGGCATGTTTTGCTCTTTTGCAGCGCTCTGATATAATCCCGGTGCATTTTCTTATAGTCACCAAATGGCCCAAATTTCCCAGTTTTTTTTTTTCTCCTCCAATTGCAATTCCTTTGATGGTATCTCCATTCCAGCCTGTTTGGCAGTCCTTCCTTTCTCTTTTGGCCTTCAGCGGGGATCAATTTTGGCAAGCTTTGCTGCATGTGCCTGCGCTTATAGCGTATGGGAAAGATTTCTCTCTTTTTTTTTTTTCCTTTTTTTTCAGCATCCATGCCATGTCTATTATATCTTCCCCCCAAGCTGTTTCTTCCTCCTTGACTCTTTCCCCTGCTTTTGCAGCGTCGGTCAGCTTAGTTTTGGCATGTTTTGGTCCTTTGCCATGCAGCTCATTTCTTCAGGGACCATTTCTTGAAGACACTAAAACTCCTGATTTTCTGGATTTTTTCGGCTTTTTTTCAATTGCATTTCATTTGATCCTATCTCCTTTCCAGAGTGTTTGTAAGCCTTTCTGTTTGGGTTCGCAAGATTCCGTTTCCTTCCCGAAAGGAAATGAAATTTCCTTTCGGGAAGGGAAACGGAATCTTGCGATTTCAATGGGGACCAAGAGAGGAATCTTTGGTGCATGTCCCTGCACTTGATGACATGCCATGCCTTTTGATGCCTTTGACGTTGGGAAAGATTTTTTCTTTTTTTTTTTTTCATTTTTTCTCAGCATCCATGCCATGTCCCTCATATCTTCTCCTGCAAGTTTTTTCTTCCTCCTTGCCTTTTTGCCCTGCTTTTGCAACGTCTGTGAGCTTAGTTTTGGCATGTTTTGCTCTTTTGCAGCGCTCTGATATAATCCCGGTGCATTTTCTTATAGTCACCAAATGGCCCAAATTTCCCAGTTTTTTTTTTTTTCTCCTCCAATTGCAATTCCTTTGATGGTATCTCCATTCCAGCCTGTTTGGCAGTCCTTTTCTCTTTTGGCTTTTAGCAGGTGTCAGTGTTGGCAATCATTGCTGCATGTGCCTGTACTTAATGGCATAACAGAAAGTGTTCTGGACTCTTCTGAAGCTCCAGAAGTTCTGTACAGTCAGTATTTCTGTTTAGCAGAATTTTTTTCCAAGGTGAAATTACTTAGGAAAGCTTTCTTTCACAGAATTACGATGCTGAAATATTTCACATAAAATAGTGATTCAACAGATATTAATTAAACAAAAATTCACATTCAAATTAACTCAACAAAACCTGATATTAATTAAACTAAAATCATCAATATATGACACTGCCTTTAATACGAGAGGTAGAAAGTGCACTGTAGATGAAAATTTTTAATAATTCCCACCTTACACGTTATTCACCCTTTGTAGAATAGTTGGGGTTAAGGTGGCACTATCTGGGCATTTAAAAGGGAACACCTATGCAATTTATTTCTACACAGTATGTAGAGCAATCTAATAATTTTGCACAGTCTAGTGCCCCTTTTTTTTTTTCTCACTTTAACCTAATTTCTTCACTTGTACTGATCCTGCAGGTCTGCCCTAAATCACCTTTTAGTGGAGAAGATAGAGTTCCTACGTTTAGAGCTTCATTCACAAATCTACTTCAGTAGTTTTTGTGTGGCTACATGCCAGGAATGGTAAGTAATGTGTTTTTAGCTTCTGTATTGAACAGAGCTCATGGTTGGACACTGTCGTGTAGCAACAACTGCTGGCAGAGTAATGCAGAACAGGGAAGCTGAGCAATTATAAAATGATTTTAAAATGAAACAGGTTATTTTCCTAAATAATAATAAAAGAGATAGTTCTTGCTTCATGTCTGCACCTGAACCAGCTGCACAGTGAACAGGTTTTCTAATTGTGGTGAAACTTGTCATCATCTTCAGTATATACAAAAACGTAATTCAATACTGCATAAGGAACTCAATGTCCATTCACATAAGAAAAAAATCTTCAACAAGATTAAATTTATAACAAAGCCAAAGAGATACACAAATTATGGTAATTAAGTTGTTCATGGCTAATACAGAGGTAAAGATGGGATTTATTAAGGCACAAAAAGGAGGTTTACAATTACTGTTTTAGTTATAAATGTAAAAGATTAAAATTGGCTAGATAGTCAGTGCTTCCATTTTTATAAAAGATCAACAATTAAAGTCAGTGCTTACTGGCTTTAAGGAAAGTTTAATGAAACCTTTCATATATTACATATTTCATGAAGTTATGTAACTACATAGGTAGCAGAATTTTAACATAAATTTTTCCTTGCATTTTCCAAACATTTAATGGGGGGGGGAGAATAATGCAATAACATGGAAGGACATAGCAAGGTTTCATAAGACACTTAATTCCTCTTTGGGAGAAATGGATACTGCCACAAAATTGCTATGACTATTACTACATGCATATTTTTACTTCATACACAAAAGGTTGATCTGTGCTTAGTGTATCTGGCACAGCTCCAGGGAATTAAATGGTTCTGTGCTGATTTGCATTAGCTCATAATCCAGGCATTGCTCTAAATCAGTCATAAGTGTCATTTTCAATGGCAAAATGGCATCTTTTTTCTCTTTATGTCAGTTAACAAGATTGTATATCAATACTTTATTTTCTTTCCCATTTGACCTTTACATGTCATCCAAAATAAAGAAAAATACATCAATGTTGATAAATTACTTTTATGTAGTTAGTTTCTTCCTGACATTTTCTCAAAGTTCTTCAAAACAAATTGAGTATGAAAACTGCTAATCATCAGTGAAGTATTTATACATGAACTATGACTACTCTCTTCTGTAATAATATTATGGATTGCCAGTTTTTTGCATCTATCCATTGACTTGGATTGTTAGTCACAAGTTTTTTGTGACTTCATATTTTTTTCTAAGAAGAAAAAGGGTCTCATAGTGCTTGTTGCAGATTATTACAATATAAAAATACGAAGTATTTAAAGATTTTCAGCCAAGGAACAATAAGTATATAGCATCATTTAAGTTGGAAAATACTCTTAAGATAATTAAGTAAAATTCAACCCAACACTATTACATTCACCATTAAATGATACCCATCACTACCATATCTATACATCTTTTAAATACCTCCAGGGATGGTGAGTGCACCATTTCTTTAGGTGGCTTGTTCCAATGCTTGACAACCCTTTGAGTGAAGAAAAACCTCCCCTGGCACAACCCGAAGCCGTCTCTTCTTGTCCAGGTCCTTTTGACTTGGGACAAGAGACCAACCCTCTTCTAACTACAACCTCCTTTCAGGCAGCTGTAGAGGGGTGTAAGGTTTATCCTGAGCCTCCTTTTCTCCAGGCTAAATACCTCCAGCTCCCTCAGCCACTCCTCACAGGACTTGTGCTCCAGACCCTTCACCAGCTCCACTGCCCTTCTCTGGACTTGCTGCAGCACCTCAATGTCCTTCTTGTAGTGATGGGCCCAGAACTGAACACAGGATTCACAATCTGGCCTCATCAGTGTCAACCTCAGGGAGACAAAATTTTGCTGGCCACACTATTCCTGATAGAGGGCAGGATGCCATTGGTTTTCCCAGCCACCTGGGCACACTGCTGGTTCATGCACAGCCAGCTGTCAACAAATGTGTAAATCAGATTAAATATTTTATTTATTAATTAAATAGACTTTGATGTCCACAGCCTGCTAAAGGACTTGGCTGGTACAGAGGCCCATCTACTTTCACTTTCAGAGAAGTGTTAGCTGTGCTGTTTCTCAGCATTCTTGCTCTGGGTACTGCACCACAGTGAAGCTGTGAGCAGCAGGTCAGCAAGAGCTGTGCCAGAGGAAGAGGCGGTCTTTGGCAGCTCACCCTCTCCCACCTTCTCTGCTGCTCCAGCAGGGCTCTGTGGATATTACCACTTCCCTTCTCAGCAGATCTGCCAACAGAGTCACTTGCAGGAATGCAGCAAGCTCAAAAAATTGACATATTTTTGCAGAAACAGGGATATGAACAAACAGAGTTGACAGATCTGAGAGGACACAGAACAAAAACAGGAATTTGAAACAGACTGCAGACATGCATCTGTCCATATAAATGTTTTTATCCTATGGGCATGCTTATGTTGTACAGAAGATCACAGTTTTCTCCCAAACTTTCAGATTATGCTATAAAATTTTGATATAACTCTTTCAAGTACAATTTAAATTTTTGCTGTTTTTTTAGCAGTAACCTGCTTTAGAAATGTTAAAGCAGAGAAGTCTATCTATCATGCAGCCTGCACTGGATTCAGGCCACCTTCCCTAGAAGTTGTTATAGTGTAGACATAGTAAAGATAAAGTGGAATGGTAACTAAAATCACAAAAAGGAAATTCAATGTTCCTTTTCTCCTAACATACAGAGTGCTGGTAATGTTAAAAAATAAATACTGAAATAAAAAAAATGAGACTAAGACATTGAAACTGGTCTCTTGGTTTAACCACAGGACTGCAAAGTCAAGGATACCTAAGCCAAGGAAAACCAAGTTATTTTGCTGATAATGTCAATGTATTTCAGCAGTATGCCCCAATGGTACAACTTTTCAAAACCAATGATGATTAGTTTGGGTACTGTGCTGCAAAGCCTGGTTCCAGCTGTAATCTCAATCCTGTGTATCCCTGTGGTGCTCTGTGGAGGTGTGTTAAATTTGCAATTTTGATTCCAGTTAGAGAAATCCTTGTGCATGCTAAAGGTCTGCAGAGTGTCCCAAGTTCGCTGGACAACATGTAATGTTTTATTAAGCCTTACATTTTGTAAATGTATTTCACGTAATCATGTCAAAACCAAGACCTCAGTTGAAACTATTCAACTAAGGTCTTGGGTAATAAAGGTAATTATTTCTTGTAACAACCTGGAGCCTGTTAAGCCACAGGGAGTCATCTCAGGGTGTGCATCACCAGGCACTGCCCTTGTTCTAGGACGCTGCCATAGTTTGGCTGGGGGATCCCTCTGCTTGCCCGCAGATCCACCGGCCAAAGCGAGCACAGGCAGCTTGTCATAGACACAAGTGGCTGCACATCAAGACTGCTCATCTCTTCTCCCAGCTGCGAAGGGGAAGGAAACTAAATCTGTAGAGACTTCAGGAGAGGCAAATGCTGCCAAGGTACTTCAGGAGAGTGCGCTCTTCTTTGGATTCAGTGTTCAGGTGGGGCCACAGAACTCCCTAGGTCTGGGACTCGATAACGATCTAGAAAGCCCATTCGGGGTCACTCCTGGAGCCCTGCGCGCCCTTTCCCCCGCAAGTGGAGGGGATGCCACCTCCGTCTCCGCCGGCGAGCGGGCGCGCCCAGGTGCGCTGAGCCGCGCCCGGGCGGGCGGAGCCCGCGGATCCTGGCAGCCGTGGGGCCCGGAGTGGCGCTGCCCGTCCGTCCGTCCTGCCGTGCGGGTCAGTGTCTGCCCGCCCGTCCGTCCGTCCGTCCTGCCGTGCGGGTCAGTGTCTGCCCGTCCGTCCGTCCGTCGGTCCTGCCGTGCGGGTCAGAGTCTGCCCGTCCTGTCCTGCGGGTCAGTGTCTGCGCGGCCGCGGGGCCGGGGCTCCGCGGGAGGGCGCGGGGCTGGCTCGGTCTGTTCGGTGCGTGCATCGCTCGGGACGCGGAGGGTCGGCGGGGCTCGGGACGCGGCCGTGCCCTCCTGTTTCCCCGGTGTCGGAGCCCCCGTCAGATTTCCCTCCGCCCAGGCGGCACCCCGTTGTTTTCCGAGGAGTGGCGTGGGTCCGGCGCCGGGGAAGCTACTGCGCTTCTGCCGAGGCTGCCTGGGGTTAAACATCTTGTCAACTTTGTTTTGTGCTTTTTGGTGAGTCTCCACTCCAGGCGTGCCAGGGAGGAATTCCTTGCTGCTTCTCGATACACCCACTTTTGGCCCCAGGAGCTGCGCCTTGGCAAAGGTGGGTTGGTATTTCCTGGGTGACCGAGAAAGGCCTTTCATGTTTCTGCCAGGGGTGGGTCGTGAGCCTGCTAGAAATGGTTAAATTATTGTTTAATCAAAGCAATTAGTTTTCGAGATGACTTAGGACCAGTATCTTCAGTAGCAGGTTAAGAGCCAAGTTGGCTGTCACTAACCAAGGCAAGTCAGCCCTGAACTGCAGAATGACAGCAAGTCATGCATGTCACAAGCAGTGCATAGCACCAGAGTGTCTGGTCAATTCAGATAGAGAATATTTAAGTGTTTAAGGGAAAAAAAAAAAATAAAAAAAAATAGCTGAATCATAAAAAAAGTTCAGAAGTTACACCAGCAGCTGCCTTGGCTCAGACTGGTTTCCTGTTGCTGCCAGTCTTGAGTCAGAGCTGGGAGAGATTATTTCTGCTAGGAGGAGTTCTGCTGACAGGTTCATGTTTGTTGACATTTGGAAGTAGGAGGTGAAACTAGCTTAGCTACAGAAACTCTGTGCTGAGCAAGCCAGGTAGCCTCAGTGATTTGTCATCTTCCTCAGCCTTTCCAAGTGATCTTCAGACTGTTCACAGGGGTAATAAAATAACAGTAATTCCTGGATCAGCCTCCTCTTCCCGTCTCTCAGGTGGTTCTTTGATCAATGCAGTTACATGCCACTTTTCATGCAAGTGGAACAAATGACTTTTTTTTCTTTAACCATGAGAAGCTGCTCAGCCCAATAAACAGAGATCATAAGCATTCAAAATTACTCTTCTCAGTGATAAATCCAATATTTCTTTGTGAATGTGGGCAAAGATTGTAATTCAGAAAGGAGAGAAACAACCTGTGGCAGTCACTGGGTGACTTATCAGAAAAATTTAATCATGCCATTTGTACTGTCATAAGGTATGCTGAGGAATGAAAACCTTTAGAACACATAGAAAAACATTTTGTTTCACATGAAACAAAATAAGCCTGCCATTCATCTCCAGCTAAATGAAAGTACACCAGTCACCAAAAAGGGGGAAGAAAATTGTTATTTTCTTCACTGTAGAAACCCAACGCACTGATAGAAAGCTGCCTTACAGTTTCCTTACTGTTGCAGGAAACTGAAGGACTACACTTATCAGGAGTGTTTATCTTCATGTTTTCTTTTCATTAAAGGCAAGGAATGTTTACTGCTTCTCACACCATCCTGGTTTGGCATCAGTATAGGTATTGGGAGCTAAGGGATTTCATTCATGTCTCCCTTGTTTTTTTTCACAGAATAATAGAATAGTTTGGATTGGAAGGGACCTTTGAAGGCTATTTAAACCAACCCCCATGCCACGAGCAGGGCATTTTTATCTTGCCCTGGTATGTGTTTATAAAGAGAAAATATAGTTATGCTTAAAGGACTTTTCTGTAATTTTGCTTTGTGATTTATTCTTCACTAATTATGTCATAACAAGTATATGCAAATTTTTCTTCTTCTAAGACTATGCTAATAGTTTAGGATTTTAAAATACTTTCAGGTGCAAATGCTAATTCCATATTTTTACATTATCCAACTGTAATTTCTAGTAATGATAAGAGTGTAGAATAGTATCTATCCTACATACTATGCAACAGGAACTGCATGTGGATCTAAGTTCTCTAAGATTTTAATCTTCAGCTGGTGAATATGAACGTGCCTATCTTGTGGGAACATTTTTATTAAGTCTGACTTAGCAATACAAAACAACTTCTGTTATATGGAAACACTCTTGGCAAACAAGGAAGTGTGTTTGCACAGCCTGCAAATCAAATTATAACTTCCTGCAGTATGTTGTATAATATAGAATGAGAAAAAAGGGAGCAGGTACTCACTCTAGTTCCTTACTTGAAAAGGGTTCTGTCTCCCAGAGCTAATACCAGCATTGCCAACAGCAAATAGGATATTTTTAGGACCTTATGTATTTTAACTATTCTTTGTTAAACTGTATTAAATGAATTATCCAAGTCTGCTTCTTGTTAATTGTTCAGTGAAGTACTTTTGATATAACATTTTTTATTTCCAGAGCTTACATGTGAACACAGAGGCACATCCTTTTCTACCAAGTCCCCAAGTGCCATTTCTTCAGTTGGGAAAGGGGAGAAGAAAATAAAAGAAAAAAAGGGAGTGTATTACTGATGCTGTCACTCTTCAGGATGAATCGTTCATGTATTATTTTAATTACAGGGAAACCATGGGAAAAAAAAACCCTATTTGTTGCATCTCCTGCTTCCTATGTATCATGGTGGACTGAGCTTTTGTACTTCTGCAAATTGTTTCATATTTTAACATGTCTTCACAATAAGCCTTCTTTAAAAAAAGATTGTTAAAAGTTTTCCAGGCTAGAGTCTGTAATCCACACTGGCTGCCTGATGCACTCCACTGTAACAAACTGAGACATCAGCCTAGACTGCCCAAGCCCTGTAGCAGCTTTGCTGCCTGACCCCTGCTTCCCCATGAAAAAAGCAACTCCTTTTGTTCTTGGAAATGCACTACCTGCTCTTCCTTTAGAAACAAATCTAGGCTGATTACGATGATGCCATTCCCACAGACTGTTATCATAGTGGTACTGATAATGCTTGGCTAGCTGAGTGTGAGCCTTTGGTCCCTGCTCAGGATCACCCAGCTCTCCAGCAGGGTTGCAGGGATAGCTGGGGGAACTGTCCCCTGTGGCCTGTGATCTACCTCCACCCAGGGCTTTCTGAGGTTAGATAGATTAAATTTGCTGGGAGGTGGAATGAGGCCTTCACCTGAAAATTTTGTGATTGGTTAAATAAGACTTGGCTCACACAGTATTCACTGAACAGTTTTTATAAAATGCCTTAGCACCCATATGCAGTGAGAGTTTTCTCTCTGTTTGATTTTTCCTTCCTTTTTTCCATTTGTTTTTCCAATCTTAGCTACCAATATAAAACCAGAAGCCTTGAATAGCAGCAGGCTTACTTTAACAGGCAAAGTCCAAAATCATGGATTTGGCTATATGTTTGTGGTCTCTGCACAAAAAAAAAAGGAGCTCTTTCATCTTCAGGTTTCAGTTTAGCTTTTAAGATTTTGAGTTGAATTTTAAACTGAAGCTAATATTTTTTTGTTGCATTGCTCGGCCTTCCCCTTATTGCCTGAGCCAATGAAATGCAAAACATGGATGTAAAATAATGTAATCACCTGTGAGCTACAGGAGTGGGTAATGACCCACGGCAACATCGTCTACATTGTGTGGGTTTTGTGTGTTATTTGCACAGTCAGAAATTAAAGGTGCTCTGCAAAGACACGAAAAGGAGTGAGCAGAGTGGGAACAGGGCTCTTCCAGAGCTGGGCCTGTGTTGTGAATCATTTGTCCTTCTTTTTCTGCTCCCAGGTGCTGCGCTCTCTTTTTCTTGCCCTGACTCCTGCCAGGCATGGTGCCAGATCACCAACGTGTCTGAATCACACTCTCCTCTCCTCACCTCTATGGAGGGGACTGGCAATGAAACAAATTGGAGCATTTCCCTCCCTTCTGGAAGCAAATACCACCTCTACATTGGCTTGGCTTTGGCTGTAGGCTCCAGTATCTTTATTGGTTCTAGTTTCATACTGAAGAAGAAAGGACTTTTGAAACTGGCAGACAAAGGAGTCACCCGAGCTGGTAGGTGATGGTGCCATCCTTGCTCCAGCTGGGGACACAAACACCTCTTCTAACTTGACAAAATCAAGGTTCAAGTCACAGATCACATGTTTAAAACTACTTTAATGGTGATCAGAAGTCCTGTCTTGGTAAGGGATGGAGACATGCTATTATTTCTGTGTGTGGTTACAGGGACTGGGATTTCAGAACTCTTAGGACTAAGAGATATGCAGTGGGTATTAAATCTAGTGAGCTGGTGCTAGTTCCTCACTGAGAGCAATTAGTTACCAAAATAAAATTCTCTATTTGTCTTATCCTCCAAAATGCCCTTCTCCCTCTTTTTTTCAATTTTTCTTCCCCCTCATTTGAGATTGAAAGTCTTAGGCTGGTTTAGCTTTTTTGTTTTGCTCAGCTTCTTTAAAGTGAGTGCAATGAGTTGCAGAAATGACATTTATTACACAAGTTTCTACAGTTAGTACAACTATCCCTTCATCAAAGTCAACAGATGAACAGCTAGAAAAAGAACAGTTGCCCTAATGTCTTAATTTGCTTTGCATGGATTTAAGTACATAGCATTAGCAGTTTTTCTTTTGTTTGTTGTCTTTATTGGAAAATATTATTCCAGAGAATTTGGTTATTTGAAAAAACCGATACTGAATATAAGATATACTTATGTTTTATGTAAAAAAAAAAAAAGTCATGCACACGGGGGCATTGTTCTTTCTAATTTCTTCAAACCTAAAGTAAAAGGAGAGTCAAACTTCAGTTGACTGTATGAATATATTGGATCTGACCTGGAAAAGCATTTTGAAACATCTCTTAAGCTCACCAAAAATCTTTATAAACATTTTACTTTTGCTTGAAACTTCACCTCTGTGTACATTTAGTCAAATAGCATTTTTTAGAAGCCCAAGTCACAAAGCAGTAGAGTCGTTAATAAAATGTCAGTCAAAATCAAATATTCTTCTTTTTGCATTTAGGTAACATGCTCTTTTTGTACTTTGTAAGTGCAAATGTGAAGCTGTACTTTTTGTTTCTTACAGTAAGGTGATCTGTTTCCTCTAAGATAAGGTTATTTTTTCTCTTTCAGGACAAGGTGGATATTCTTATTTGAAGGAATGGCTTTGGTGGGCTGGACTGCTATCAAGTAAGTCAGCTCTTTCCTCTCAGCCTATATGTAAATCTACAAAAAGCAGATTGTTTTAAATAGATTTGTTGTCTGATTTTTCATTCCCTTCACTTAAAAGAAATGTCCTTGCAATCACATTCATGACAAGCTCTTCTCATATGCCATCTTTCAAATACTGCATTTGGTCTTAAGAGCTCTCTGCAGAATAACCATCTTTTCTTTAATATCTGGTCAAATGCCATGGAATTGCATCTGTCCAGATTCTAGGAGTACTTAGGAGAAGAGTATTCTACTTTCTTCCAGCATTTATTAGTTGTGCAGCTAATTTTGAAATGAAAATGTGCATATATATAGTGCAGAAAAAGGATTTTGGTTTGTATTTGCTGTCATAGTTGTCATACAAAATATTTACAATAGCGTGCCTTTTAATATTCTCCTCCAAGCTGATCCAAATGTTCTTTCTTCTGCAGTGGGATTAGGAGAAGCTGCAAACTTTGCTGCCTATGCCTTTGCACCTGCAACCTTGGTTACCCCCTTGGGTGCACTGAGTGTTCTAATAAGGTCAGTACCAATGGGGAGCAAGCCTTGCCAAAAACCACTCACTGCATGAGGGAAAAAATACTGGCTTTGGCTGAAAGTAGAGATTTTTAATAAGAAAACTGAAAAGCAATTGATGGGCAGAAAATGCTTTTCATTGCTTTCTGGAAATATATTTTTCCTTATTGAGAACTGAGTTATCTGGGTAGATAGAATCAGAAGTCTTGTTGCAAAGGCCACTGAATGCCTTCCCATTAGCTTTTCACCTAGATCACAAAGTAATTCTTATCAGCATAAACAAGGTATAGTGCTGATAAAAGGTAATTTATCTATTCCTAGAGAACTGGAACTTTTTAAAGAACTGTTAACCTGTTCTTCAGCTGTGACTGAACTTTAAATAAAAATACAGCATTCCTTCACAAAATGTTTTCAAAAACATTTCTATTGATCAGAGCACAGTTAGTAAATATTTTGATTTTGTTTGGTCTTTTAGAAATCTTTATGGAAAGAAGGCAAAGAAACTCTAAGCTTTCTTCTGTATCCACAATTAAAATTTGTGGTTCTTTTGAAACATAAATGTCCTTCACAGACTTATTGTTTCCTATGTATGAAGAAAAAAATAATTTCCAAGTTCTTAAGCACATACAGTAATGTGGCTATCATAGCAGCAGAAAGGACATGGACTGCGCATACAAAAATTTTATAGGAAATAATCTTTTAGCAAAATGAAATTATAGTAATTTAAATGTAAAACTGATTTTTAAGAACTGAGTATATTATATGAAACACTGTGTTTAAAACAATATGCGCCACATATTAAAAACAAAACAAAAAATAACCCAAACAAAAAACCCCAAACAAACCCCCCCACCCAGGATACTTGGAATGATCTACCTGCTCAAACTGCAGCTGTTCTGTCATAGCAAAACCAATGTAACTGAGTCCCTGCAGTGGTTCTGGGGTCAGCGTGTTGGTAAATGCAGATCAGCTGGCTGCCTGGCTGCTGCTGTGCAAAAACAGCTTGAGTTTTATTGCTCTCTTCTTTGACAGGGAGAGCAATCATTCAAATTTTCATGAGACAGAGGGGTTGTTAGAACTTCATGTCAGTGAACTCATTACCCTTGTGTGAAAAAAGGTCTGTATTTTGATCAGTGGGTTGAGTAACTGTTTGTGTGTTCACACACCATTAAGCCCGTGTCTGTGCCCAAGGTTGTTCTCCAACAGGCTAATCATGCCCTATGAGTGGTGTTTTAGGCCACGTTATTGTGCTTAGGTTAAATAATCAACCCCGTGGAGATCCGGGGGTTGATCACTGAAGGGGGAGACATGCCTTCTCTGTGTTTTGGGGGAAGCCCTTGGCAAGCCAGGCAGAAAGTGTGCCTGGGTGGGAGAGCCTGGGGAGAGATAAGGAATAGTTTCCAGCACTCATGTGCATTGGTTGTAATAGCAAATGAACTGCTTTGAGCCATTTTTGGAAGAAATAAACAGCTCTTGTGGTTAATCTACAGTGAGAGTGCATACCCTGACCCAGGCAATCAGGAATGAGAAGCTCCTTAGCAATTTGGACCCTTTTACAACCTGGAAGGAAGCAATAAGTGTTGCTAAACTCCCTAAAACCTGATCTTACCTTCTTGGTCATGACCAACTTTCTTGGAAAAACTCCACACAATTTGATTGTTTCAGACTGGTTTACCATATATCCAAATTCAAGAGAGGTTTTCTGATATGCTACACAGAGAGATTTTGAATGCCTTCTGTGCCTGGTGGAGCTGAACATTTTATTTCTATTTTGCTGAACAGTGCTATATTGTCATCCTATTTTTTAAATGAGAAGCTGAATATTCATGGAAAGCTGGGCTGTGTACTGAGCATTTTGGGGTCAACAGTCATGGTTATTCATGCCCCAGAGGAGGAGGAGGTCACCTCACTAGATGAGATGGAAAGAAAGCTGCAAGATCCAGGTCTGTATGCAATTGCAGTGAAGACATGCTGCAGTTCATAGGGAAGTGTCCAGGACACTGAACAACTGAGCATGTTCGTGAGCATAGTCTGGTGTGTGTATTACTCTTCCCTTTCCTCTTTTTTACAGTGTTTGTTACATTTGCTGTTCTGCTGACAGTCGTTGCCCTTGTCCTGATCATTGCTGTGGCTCCAAAGAGAGGTCAGACAAATATACTGATCTACGTTTTAATTTGCTCTCTCATCGGTGCCTTCTCCGTCTCGTCTGTGAAGGGTCTGGGCATTGCCATCAAGCAGATGCTGCAGAGGAAGCCAGTCTATCGCCATCCCCTGCTTTACATTCTGGTGGGCATCTTGGTGCTCTCAGTCAGCACTCAGATCAGCTACCTCAACAAAGCCCTGGATGTGTTCAACACATCCCTTGTGACACCCATTTACTACGTGTGCTTCACTACCACAGTGGTGACGTGCTCCATCATCTTGTTCAAGGAGTGGAGCAGTATGGAACTGGGTGATATCATTGGAACCCTGAGTGGATTCTGCAGCATCATCATTGGCATCTTCCTACTGCATGCTTTCAAAAACACTAACATCACCTGGAGTCAGTTGATGTCCAATGTTGCCAAAGAACCATCACCACCACACCGTGAATCTGAAACCGGTCACACTCTGCTGGAGAGCATGGAAAACCCAGCTCTGGCATATGAGGAGGACAACATTTTATTCAGTCAGTGAAACACTCAAGCGGTGTTTATCATCAAAGTATCATGAATTGCAAACTCAGCCCACCCATGTCTACTAGAAAGCTCTACTTTTCTGCAGTCCTCTGGAAATTAGTCTGTGAGGCAGTAATGAGTGAAAATGGTCAGTAATTAGCACAACAGACAGAAACCTGGTGGTGATTATATGTTAGGCAATGAAAAACATGGTCCTTCTTTTATGCAGCATCTCTTCCTGGGAAATTTTAGCAAAAAAGAATGGTTTTTGTAAGCCATGTTTACAAATGCAATTTTCTTTTGATGATAAAAGACAATCATTGCTGAAATGGCAGGTACTCTGCTATTATCTTGTGATGGCCTTAATATTTCTGGCTTTATATTTTCATAATTTATTGCCAAGTGAGCTTGTATATACTCTACATGAAGGATCTTCATTGGAGACATAATATGAAGAAAACAGTGTTTAACACTTAGTTTTTCATATAAAATTTTATGCAAGATTTTTTCACTTTTGATGACCTGCCAATGAGCATTGATTAGATGTCACAAAAATTTTAGCAAATACAATTCTTGATACATCTCAGCTTTTCTTCTCAAGGAATCCTGAATGGATTGTGAATCCCTGAATGTGCCTGTAACTTTTTTATTACAAAACTAAGACCAAGTTTAAGAAAAATAAAATTCATTAGAGGCCTGAAAACAGTTGCTACTGGCTTAAAAAGTTACATAAGGTTATAGAATTAAGTATTCAAAGGCAGGAGAAAAACAGAACATGCAATTAAAAATTTCCACTTTGTTTTATATTATTTTGAGGATTAAGAAGGAGCTTTACTTATTTCCATACTTCTTCCTAATGCAGCCATCTATTAATTATAACCCATTTAAGCTTTTCAAATTTTTTTCCTCATTTTCTGGGAAGGCATTGTTCTTTATTAATAATAAAGCAGTCCTGTTAATTTTTATTCTTTTATAAGTGCAAAATTCATTTTACAATCCATGCACTACTTCCAAAAATACTAGGTAGGGGATGAGTGGTAGGCAAGGGGTGAGAAATGTCAGAATGTCTTTTTTTTGAGTTTGGACTTCTCTAAAAAAAACTATTTGCCCCTATTAGATGTTTAACAATATGTTAACCTACCAGAGGCCTTGAAGTTTGGTAACTGTACTGTAGTTCCTCAGTTGTGGTCACTGATCTTCCTGTCACAAAAAAGCTTGCACAGTCCATGGTTTACTCATTACAACCCTCTTTGTTTTCCACTTTGTAAGTAAGTAAGTTCAGCAATCAGACATGTGGTTGGTGACAAGCTCATCAGAAGGCAGCATTTCCAGTCTTTGGATCTTTAAGTGTGAGTCCAGAAAGTTTGCCAGGGGATGCCATGACTTCAGCACTTAAAAACTGGTTTAAATCAGCTGAAATTTATATGCCAAGCAGAACTTCCTCATGAAGCAGGCTATATGTTTCCTAATGTTCAGAAGGTTTAGTAGAAGACAACAGTTTGGATGGCTAGAAAATTGTTCTGTCAAAGAAAGCTCATCCTTCACAAAAGGGTTGCTGCTTATATTTCATATATTTAAGTGGCTATTACCTAATAGCTATTATTGCTATCACTATTACCCAGCAAAAGGGACATTTTCACTAAAAATGTACTTGCCTTCAAAATATAATGACATTGTACACATCATCAATTTGGAGTATTTTTCAGCTTGAGTGATGAAATTCACAGCAATTCTTTGCTGTTAAAAAAGCTTCAGACAAGAAAATCTACTAACAGGGTTTCATTACTTCTTAGTTAATGTAGAGAATACTTTGGTTTTATTTACCAGATTCAAGCTTCTAAATCTTAATAGTTAAGACCAAGTAATACAAACAATAAAAAAAGCTAAAGATGGAGGGGGTTTTATAGTTTGTTCTTTAACAAAAGCTTGCTTTTCACTCTGAATTACACAGTTCAAAGAATAACTGAAGAAAACGTTGACTGTAAAAAAGAGAAAAAGAAATGCTTTTGCATAGTTCATGGCCCCTTTATTTGCCTATAGAGTCATCACTGTGGTGTGACTAAATCAGTTATTTGTAAGAAATAACAACCAGTCCAGTTCTTGAATGGATGTGCATTGGCATTTTTTAAAGATATATCATAATACTTCCTTTGAGAAGGGTGTGGACTCCTTATGTACCAGCTGCTGGCAATAATTAGCTTATAACAAGCAAAATTCCTGTATTTTCTACTGGATCTTTGTATCTGCTATTACACATAAATAGCAACTAATAATAAAAGAATGCTATTTTCTAACAATGTCAAAAAAACAAAGTTAATGGTTATTTTCATGGTGTACAAGAAGTCCATCATGTTAGAAGTAAATTAGTGATTAATTTTTTGTATAAAAACATTTGTTGTAAGAGATGCTATTTTTTTAAATGTTTCTATTTAGTGACTGGTTTGGAATAACTTTGATTTTTTTATTGAAATTATGCTAATATTTCTCTTGTAATAAATTATTCATGGTTATGCGCTAGATCATCTGTAGTTTTTAAACAAGGGATAAAAAAAGAGTGTCATTCATATTTCTAAACTGGAGAAGAAAACCCAAAGCATGTGTGTCTCACAGCCAGTCTCAGTGGAGAGTGTTTCAGTGAATTGTCAGGTTTTCCAGGCAGTGAAATGAAGAATACTATTTAAAGTAATTAGATGTGTTTTGGTATGTAGGGCAAACGGTTAAGAAGGAGAACAAAGCAATCCTCAGAGGCAATACATTGCTAACCAAATTACAGCTTTTAAATGCTGATACCAAACAAATCTTGGCAGCTACTCATTATTACCACATCTCAGGACAAATTAATGGGCAATTAAGTTCCTTACACAGCTGCACCAACTAAATTTAGGTAGGTCAAGAAGACTTCAATAGGTTAAAAAAAATCTGTACCATTTTGGAAGGAAATACATCAGTTACTAATTTCTCTAGAAATCTGTTCTACCATCTTAATTTTCAGCCACACTTGAAAGAACCATGCCATAAAAAAAAAAATCTTCATCCCAAAGGGTGGATATTCAAAAATTCAAACTCTACTCATCAGGCCGCATCCTGGAGCTTTATGGGGAATTCCATACTCCTAGAAAATGTTGTTCTCTCTTTCTTTAAATTCCAGCAAAATAAAACTGTTGTTATCTTATTTCAAAAAGCTCTCATACCTTCTTGGTGATTTCTCACAGGCAGCTCCTCACAGCACTAACTCCTTCTTCTTCACAGCACAGCCAACAAACTCCAGCTCTCTCCTCACCCAGCTAACCCACTCTTTTGTAGCACTTGTCTCCTTATTGGACACAGCTGTGGCCTCTTAAGGGCAGGCCTGTTCTTAATCTTTGGTGATTAGTACAGCTGCAACTCCTCAGGTGTGAGACTGCCTTCTGCACTATTCTCTTACATTCTATCCCTCCACATAAAACTGGTAAGTGTGCTAGGAAATATCCTTCCAGCAGGGCATATTTGCAGTAGCTGACTCCTTCTGGACAGGCTTTAAAATTGTGCCATGGTTCAGAACATGGGTGGGATGCTGAGCAGGAGCCAGACTGGTGGTACATGAGGGAGGAGGGATGGTGATGTGCTTTGGTGGGCCTGCAGGGCCTCCCATCTGTGAAATCTGCTGGGGGGAGAGGGATGGAGGCAGGAATTGGTCTGAAACAAGTGTCACCAGCCCTGTACACACTAGTTATTGGTCTGCATTGTTTCTCAGGAATACTTTTGACAAGTGAATTAATTTCACTTTCTGAAAATAAATTCCATTTTGCAAATAATGCACCTTTTTAATAGAAAAGAGATGCATCCTAAGTGGCTGGCTCACAAAAGCTTGGAGTTCTGCCTTTTTTCCTCCCATCCATAATACAGACTTGTTCAAGTTTTCTGATGTTTGATCAGCAAACAGTAGCTAAATTTTTACAAATGCTGAACACTCCTACAGCCTTTGATGGAAGTTTCCCTGTATGGAGGTATCTCCTTTACTGCTTTTTCCAGATCTCATTTTCATCATATGGAAGTTTAAAAAGAAACTGTCAAACAGACATCTCTTTATGGTTAGTGATAAGGATGTCACTCACTATTCATCCATTTTTTTGCCTGTTAGAATATGGTTGGAATTTGACCTAAGCTCACAGTCACCATGAGGTCTAAGGTGGCCTACTCAGTCTTTATGTAAGGGTGTAGCTGTTAAGGTGGCCTACTCAGTCTTTATGTAAGGGTGTAGCTGTTCTGGTAAATAAATGCACTGTAGATACCTGACCTTTGTACTGCAGACCATTTCTTGCTGCCAATTAAGCACCAGTTTCACTGACTCTGAAGCAAGTTCTCATGCTTTTTCATTTATTTACTGTCAGCTTGATGATAGAAGCTGTTAAATTTATTCTTTGTCAGAATGTTAATAACAGCTTCTTCAAATTTTTCCCCAAGCAACCTACAGAAAGATTATATTGAGAAGTGGAAGCCTGGTAGGCAAGCATTATTGGCTCCAGTTATTAGACCAGCATGCTTCCAGGATGGGTGGAAACATGAATATGGGTCCCATATTCACCATGGAACAGCTCAGTGAGAGGCAGGAGCAAGATGCTTGGAGTACATAAATCTAATGCAGCTGGTTTTCACTGCATGGTGCTGTAACGTATTACACATTAACCTGCAGTAATATGGCAAAACCAGTTTTACAAGACCTGCTTAAAAAGATGTCTCATATTATTCAAAGTCCCCATGTACTTTATATTGTGGAGAGAGCTTGAATTTCACATTGGTAGTGCATCATCTGCTGAAAAGCTTTGTACTTCTGTGGTCTGGGCATAAACTGTGGTGAGCTCCATGTGTGTACTGTGTTGTTGTCTCAGTCTTGGCTGAGAGGGAGCAGAGCCAGGACAGCTGACCTGAAGTGGCCAAGGGGATATTTTGTACCATAGAATGTCATGATCAATGTATAACCTGGGGGGGGAGAGGGAGGGAAGTTGACTGGGGGTTGCTGGTTATTGCCTGTGGATGGGCTGAGCTTCAGTCAGCAGGGAGTGAGCATTGGTACTGAGCATCACTGGCTTCTCTTGGGTTCTATTCCTCTCTCTTTCTCCTTTTAATTGCTATTACTATTGTTACATTTTACTTTGCTTCAGCTGATAACCTGTTCTTATCTCACCCACAAGTTTTACTTTCTGACTCCCTGTCCCACCAGGGCAGAGGCAGTGAGCAAGCACTGCATGGTACTGTTGCCAGCTGGGGTTAAACCACAACAGTTATTAAACCACAACAGACTGCATTCAGTCATAGGTCTGATAAAGGGCTGAATGCTCATAAATATATTGATTATGAATGTAAACAGTGACATCAATTCTTCTGGGAAATTACATGAAATAATGAGAATATCATGGTTTGCTTGATGCAGAAATACCTTAGAAGTGTGTTTGAAGGTACTCCCAAATGTTCAAACACTGAGAATAATGATTTCCTTTCCCAAGGGTTGATAACTATCAAAATACTATTGCAGTAAAGATGACTGATTACTGCCAGGACAATATTTGATTATGAGATACCATCATCCTTCAGAAATTCCAAACTTTGTGGGGTTTTCTATATTTAATTTTAATGTTACAGTTAGTTTTTATATTTGGAAATAAAAATTAAACTCTGACTCAGTTTGTGACAAAAATTAATTTGAACTCATTCTTTATCTAGCATGTTTTACATACTCTGTCTACAAAGCCCTAAAACTAAATATTGTGATGTACTTACCTATAAATAATTCACAATGCAATCACATATTTCCAAGAACATATTTATTTGCAATGATCTATTTTGTTTTAAATAATTATGAATTCCATCTACCTTTCTTTCTCTACCACATATTTGTGTTGACCACAGTTCAGATTTAAAATTAAAAGTGAATAATAACATAAGAAGTAGGGATACAGACATGTCCATGTAAGGTAAGGTATCATAGGTACTGTCAGGTTCCAGTTTTAACTTGCCCATGAACCATCCTGGCCATTTGCAAGGGCAGGGCTGAGGCACTACTTGTCCAAGTAGGGGATCCAGGCACACGTTTGGGCACTGCTCCAGTAGGCAGTCACTTGGCTGGCTGTCCCTTGGACAGAGCCCTGCTCTGCTTCTCCAGGGCTGGATTCTCTGCAGTGCACAAGGACTTGCCTTTAAAAGTGACCTAGCCAGAGCTTCTCAGAGCTTCTTCCATCATTTTTGCTCTGTATCTGGGGAATCAGTATTCCCCAGTGCATGAGTCATAGTAAGTATAAATAATGTAATACTGATGCAAGAATTAGTGTAACTCTGAACAAAAGAATTAATAAAAATATCTAGAAGGTGAGTAGGCTTGGTTACTGCTTTTCAGACAGATTTTTCTCCCTAACCATGAAAAGAAAGCCTTGAGAGTCCCAAACCAGTGTCCTGGAGTATCTTTCTCAAAAAAGATAAACTGTGCCAAGACCAAACAGCTGCTTCAATATGCAGGATGCTGGTACTGTGATTTAGGTAGAGACCTCTCTAAAAGGTTGAAGTTTTCTGTACCAGCTTCATTAGTGGCATGCTTAATGGTAACCTTTCAGGAAATACATTGGTATAAAATCTGTGATTATGTCATCTCTGTTAGATCTCTGAGGGTCTCTGTTAACTCTGCAAAAGTAGGACGTCCTTCAGGTTTCTGAAAAGAAAAGCAGAGGATAAACTTGTGTTAGCAGATTGGTTGTTTACAGTACCAGACTTCAGAAATTGGATATGAGTACATATGAGATAACACTTAAAAATTACATTTAATTTTATTAATAAAGATGAACAAAATCAAGTTTGTAATTTTAGAGAAAAAGAAAAATCTGTTATTCATGACACCAGCAGCATGAGCACAGACATTTGTAAAAAGATTCCTGAAATTTCTTTATACTTGTTTCAATTCTGGAGCAGAAATCTTATGGAATTTCTTCCTGGTAGGTCTATGGAAAGCCCTACCAGTCAGGAAAACATGGTGCTCAGGAATGCTTCCTGTGTTTTTGAAAAAGGATCTTCACTGCTGTATGATTTGAAGTGCTGCAGCTCAGTATGGAACAAACTCCTGTCTGGTGGCAGACAGGAAAGAGAACTTCTTCCCCAAGACCTCTCTGCTGGCTGGCACCCCAATGGGTGTTTGCAGTAAGCAGGCAAGCTGGATGCAATTTAGATTTCCATCTCTTAAGCTTTTTTTTTTTTTTCCTCAGGATTTAAAAATTTTATTCAGAGGAGTAAGGTGGGAGATAAAGGAGGCAATGGTAGCAACAAGATTCCCCAGCTACTCGCTGTGTATGCCTGCACATTTAGATGAAAAAATTGCACACAAAGCCCTTCTGAAAGGACTTTTAACCTAAAATAAAGATTCATTTCTTCTAGAAACTAGAGAAGAAGGGCCTTTAAGGGATTAATCAGATGGAGAAGTTGAGGAAATCAGTGTTTTGTTACCAATACCGGAGGTAATAGGTGCTAGACAAATGGTGAAAGAACATGAAGTACTAAATCAGCTTAGAGAGGGTGAAAGAGGTGCAGCCTTGGAGCTGTACTGATGTACAGATATACCAATATACACTTGAAAAAGGGGTTTCAAAATCTACATTTAGTGGGCATATCCACTTTGTATATGAATGTGTTATCATCCAGAGCAGATCTAGAGAAAGCCATGAACAATACAAAGGCATGAAAAAGGTATCACATTGCACCCAGCAGAGAAACAGGACAGCATATTCCAACCAGAGATGCTCTAGACCTATTGTACTGATAGTGTGCTTTATATTTCTTGGCTGCAATAGTCAAAAGAAGCAGAAGCTTGTAAACTTTGGTGTGATTTGTGAAAAACATACTTGGAGATGCCGAGAATGCCACAGATGTGAAATAAGGATTTAATGCCTTGGCTTTTAAGATTGCTCTTATATCCATGTTAAAAATTAAGAGCAAAGTAATACCTCAGGGAAAAAAAAGGGAAACAAACCTCATGCCAGCAGCTGTACATGACTTTGTACACAGGATGTGATGCTAAATGTGGTCGATAAAGTCGGTTACCCTGAGAAATCTCACGGACAACTTCAGCATTTGACTTGGTTTCAAAAGGCATTTTGCCTTCTGTGAAAACTTCCCACATCAGTACACCTAGAAGTGACCAAAATAGGTTTAGGATAAAACAAAAGATGCCAAACCCACAAGCTTTTAACAAAATTAGGAGAATAAAAAACACTCCTGATTTTTCTGTGTTGAAAAATGAATGTGTTGAGAAATGAATCAAAATACAGGCAACCTGAGCTGAATGAAGGATACAACCCAAACAATTTTCAACTAATATAATTCTGCTCTCTTTTAACTCAGCTAAGGTGATGGTCCATGAAACTCAGATGAATATGTTTGGCTAATGAGGACTCATCAGAAATGCACATTTTGGTCAAAATCTACTTTTTAGGTGCAGAACCTTCCAAATGAAAAGTCCGCTTGTCCAATATAAGCAAACTTTAAAAAATGGGAAGGACTGAAGCTTCAGTTAGGTAGCATGGGTTAAAATTTACACTTTCCTAAATCACATCAGTAGTTTTAGGGAAGTATGGTTGCCCTTTCACCTAATCAACTCACCAAATGACCAGACATCTGATTTGCTGCTATATTTTTTGAAATGAAAGACTTCAGGAGATGACCATTTGACTGGAAACTTGGCACCTGAAGAGCTGATATATTCATCATCAATTACATACCTGAAGAATAAGAGGAAACCACATATATTTGAATGAGTGACATTTCCACAAATGGTTTAGAATTCCAGAAAAACAGTATCAATTTGGAAACAAAATTATATCACTATTTTAGTATAAAATGCACACACACAAAAAACCCCCATAGCTATGCACTTAAAGACATTTTTTTCTAAATGAATGATTTGGATTATTCATCAGAATTATGTCAGAATAAAACATTTTGATACAAGCATAAGAGTGATAGGATAGTTATTATTGTCATCTTTTGGGTGTATATTAATAAGACACACCACTTCACCATGGGCAGGAAAATCAGCAGCAATAAATAATTACTCTTTTTAAAAAAGGATCCACCTTTTCCACCATTTGTTCTGCCCAAATAAGACTCCTGCTGTCCATCTTCACAGATGCCATATCAGGGACATTGTTACCAAAGCAACACACAAAGAAATGTTCATCACATTCAAGACAGCAGTTCCTGTAGGTGCACTAAAGTAATTGTTTTTCCCCAAGTTTATAGGAGCTGACCTCCCAGATAAAATGAAATTATTTGCCTAAGGCAGGCATTTATAGGGCAACTTTTTAAATTACTACTAGGCTGACCCAAACATCCTTATGAACTCTGGGCACATTTTCCAAGTATTAATGTTCCTGAACAGATCACAGATGTGCAGTACATGTTTATTCTCAGGGAAAGCATAAAGGTATTTTTTTAAGCACCTTTCAAAAGAGGTCACATTGAAATAAGTAATCTTTTTGCCTTACTTTCTCATTTTGGTGCAGGCACAGAAACACAGGAAGCTATTGAATAAGGAACATATGAAATAACAGTATAAAATAGCCTGTAATAGCAGTTGTGTGAGCTCTGAATAATTAGGTTTTTGTGTTCCCATCACTTCTTCACAGCTTCCCCAGGATAGTGAATCCTAGAGCCAGACTTTGTGGCCACAGTGAGCCTTTCAGGTCCATTATTCTTAGGCTGGAGCCTGACAGCCACCTTGGTCTTACTGTATTTTCTCATTCATTTGGATGAGTCCAGTACCCTAATACTGGCCTTTCCCTTTTGGGGAGCAATACAACCATGGTACAGGATAGCCCTTTGAAAAACAAGTCCTTAGCTATAAACTGCTAGGATGTTATAAGCCTGAGGTTAGAAATAGGAGGCAGAACTGAAGGAGCATGGCTGTGCTGACCTAACGACTCGCAGCCTCAAGTGTCACCACAACCTTCTGTCAGAGCCACTGTCTGTCTTTCAAGCTCATCTGCCTCCTAATGCTAACCCACAGAAAAACCAGCCAGTAAAGCACAAAAGTGGAGGACTTTGTGCTGGGCTTGCAAGAGGAAAGAAGAAAGAAGACATCCCCTTTGGGCAGCATTCAGTCGTTTGGCCAGCTCAGCTGTGTCCTCTGAGCAAAGTCTGTGAGGCTAGAGCTATGTTTCTCAGGCTGGTGCTTGTCAGAGTTGAGAGTGCTCTCTTTCCTCACTTTGGCTGGTTCTAAGCAGAAAAACCACTTCCCTGCTAGAGCAGCATGTGTCACTTCCTACCCACATGGTCCTCCCTGCATCCTGCCTCACCTACTCGGCTACCGCTGCCTCCAGAGGCCAGCACCAGCTCCCAGTTCTGTCCCAGTAACTTTCTGACCTCCATCCTGCTCAGCAAAGCTGGGGAACTTCTTTCTTCAGGATTCTGGCTGTCCTGTGCACTCTGGGCATTTCTCTGTCCATAAACACCTCTGAAGTTTACCTGGCACTTTGTTTACCTATCTTGCACTCACCAAGAGCAAGAGGAGGACAGGATATCCAGTTCATGGTACAGTGGTTAAACAACCTTACAATTTTCATCAGCATTCAAAAATTACCCACAGTGTGATTCCCCAAACCAGTGAAGCAAGCAGTGAGGATAACTAAAGATCATACTGCAGCTGTCTGAGAATAGGTGCTCGCAAAACTTTTGTCAGTGGCCTCGTACCTTGCCATGCCAAAGTCAGATACTTTAACCACGTGCTCTTCATTGACTAAACAGTTTCTTGCAGCCTGGGGAAAATGAGAGAACCATATCTGAAATCTGTGCTAAAGATTTTTAGGAGAAATACAGCAGCTGATTATATTTGCTCTAGCTCGTGCTGTTTATATCTGAAAGAAGATTAGTGTATTGGTCAAAAATATTAATGAATTTTTGAGTCAGGGAACATATTTCACTATTGTGTAGTTACACATACATAGCACCTAGCAACTTATATGCTTGTAGTATGAGTTGCAATATGTTTACATATTTTTAATAGTGAAAGACTTAGGTTGCAGAGTCTAATGATCTAACCAGATATTTTCCTGAACATCAACACTAGGGACAATCAGTGTAAATTTTAAAATTTGTTTTGTGATGTTTTCATTACAGAAATCAGGAACCTTCTGGTGATTTTCAAGATTTTACATTTCTTCATGCAACTAGGTAGGAGAGGAGGAAGATTTCCTCTTTACATCCAAATGTGAGCATTGAAAAAGTATCAAGGAGTAAAGAAACAAACTCCTTTCCTCTAATTACCTGCCTATGGGCAGAAAAGCCACTCATATATCCCAGCATTAATGAATGGCTGTAGAGAGCCAAAAAAATTAGATAGAAAAATATTTCAATTTTTAAAAATTCTCATTGTTGCTGACCTTTTGAATGCTATGATTTTGGTTGTGTTCTAAGCACTTTCACATTGAGATATCATAACACCAGATAGTTCCATGTCAATATCCTAATTTTCTCTGACCTCTTAAGGGGTGTTTCCAATGGACAAAGTTCTCTCAAGTGGTTTTTTGAGCTGTCCATGGGAAAACAACAGCTGAAATTTTGGTTTTGCCTTGTTAGATCCTTCAGGGCTTAAGTGTTACAGGGTACATAGTGCCCCATAAAATGCAACAGCACATTCTCTACTGCAAATATTTGATAAGAACCTCAGAAAACCTGTTGTACATACCAAATCACGGTGAATAAAGCTGTTTCTTTCCAGATATTCCATCCCTTCACAAACGTCCTGGCACATGCTCAGGAGAACGTCTCTGCCGAGTTTCCCCCGCCTTTGCCGCAGGTAACTGAGCAGGCAACCATTTTCCATGAATTCAGTCACAACATAGAGGGGTTTGTGATGTGTGCACACTCCATAAAGCTGGACCAGCTTTGGGTGGGAGAGTTTCCTGTTTAAAATCACATTTTAGACAGGCTAATATTTGTTCTTGGCAGGTAACTAAACCTTTGATTCTCATGATGGCTTTGAAAAAAATTTTCACTACTTGATAAAGAATTTCCTATTCAGCTGTCCTCAGAGTTCTCCCAGTACTTAGCACTTTTCTCTCTACAACTTCCTACAAAAAGTTCACTCTGTGAACTCATAATTCTTCACCAGTTGTATAAATGCAGTGAATGCAAAGCTTGATTTGGTCTCTGCAAAATGGAAAGGTCCAGCTACACTTGGTTTGCAGGCAGGTGCCTTGACCCTGCAAGGGTTCATCTCTTCTGGGCTTTGCCAAGACCTCATGTGGATACTTCCCTAATTTGAAAATTTGCAGATATGGTAATACAGTTTCTATCAACTAAGCTTTAGTTGGATAGAAGCTCTGCTAGTGTTCCTGAGGCACTGAGGTATGGATTAAAGAATAGTTGTAGGAGCACATTTACATTTTACCAGAACATTTATTCCCCATTGAGCTCCATAGTACAAAGCATGCACACTCTAAAGAAAGAGTCTGCACATAGGAAGCACCTGCATCAGCTTGGTTCAGACCTTTATGTCAGCCTTTCTGTCCCATACAATCACCATTCTCATCAAACTGCTTTGTTTGTTTGAAATGGAATTAGGTTATACTTCTTGGTAAACAGACAGAATAGCTTTTGTACTTACATCATCAGTTTGGCCTCCTCTATGAAATCATCTTCAGACATTGCACCTTCATTGATTGTTTTGATGGCAACCTTGATAGTCTCTTTCCATTTACCAAGATAAACAACTCCAAACTGCCCACGCCCAAGTTCTTTCAGTAACAGCAGTTCAGATGGGTTTAATCCCCACTCCTCTGTAAAAACAACCCAAAATTGCAGGAGAGTCAGGCCAGCTTTCCTGAGCCATGCTGCAGGAGACACGCCTTGCTGATGGCAGTTAATGAGCACTGCAAAGCATCACACTTGTTCATCAGCTATAGCATGAGTTTTAAATATCTGAAAATTTTCACTGACTCATATATGTTTAAATATAAATGCTATTTTACAGCTTAAAGAATGTGATTGGGAATTTTGCTTAATGTAGGAATGTCTGAGGCTTGAAGATAAGGCAAGTGTTTAGCTTTGATTACACATGAGAACTTTTTTGGCACTATGATGTGTGATGTTTTTAGCTCCAAACCAGTTCCAGATGGATTGTATAGCTATACAAATAGTCACTGGCCACCTTTATTGTAATAACTACAATAGCTCACCCCTTCAGAAATATTAAGCCATGAGATTCATGGGAACATGAAAGATACTCAGTTTTGAAGGTTCCTATTGTCTAATAGATGGTATGAGATTCCCAATCTATATGCACAAACCTGGGATTTATTGTTTGCTTGTTTTAATACCAAATAAGATTCCATTCTTATTTCTAAAACCTGCAGAACTGACAAAGAAAATCTTCTCCATTAATAGTATTAATTTCAGGTTTCAATTTTGGTTTCCTAAGCATTTATGTAAATCAAATAGCCTTTCAAAAGCTATTAAATGTCTATTTAAGTCTTAGGTTTGCTTAGAAAAGTCCAAATAGCTCTGAATGCACTGGTGGTTGTAACAGAAGCACAACAGTCACAGAAGCAGCTGAGTCAGGTGTCTCATTTGGTACTGACACCTTACACTGTTTATGTGTTTAGTATTACCAAAGAATTTCACAGATAATTAATTATTAAGCTGGGTGAATAAGAGCTAAATTCTTGCCTCAGCAGATAGCTAAATCTCCTTCAAAAGAAGATTAAAAATTTACCATAACTCAATCCTGAGGTTTCTGGTGAGGTGCATCCATCTGATCCCACTGGATGTCGGAGACGTGTGATAAGACCTGTCGGGGACAAAGCCACAATATTCTGCTGACAAATTACCTAATTTTAAAATATGCTATATCATACCTCTTCTCAAACAAAACTACTTGGAATCTGATGTAAATGTCTTATTTCTTTAAGTTATTTTTGCCTATAAAACACTAGACAAAACAGATAAAACACTTTTTGCTCATATAAAACACTAGAGTGAGAAGAAATGGAGAAAAACTATTTAATAAGGGCCTGACTACAAAAGTATTTCTACTTTCATAAAGCCAACAGTAATACTCTTGCTTTTTTGTACCATGATAGTGAGCTTTAATGAACTCACAAAAAACTGTATCACTGACCTAAGCAGGGTCTGCAAGCATGACTTCCCAGGTTTGAAATATTTTTTGTGGCTGTCATTTATTTTGTTTGCATTCATAAACCAAGAGTCCTAGTGAATACATCCTTCACTAAGGACTCCCTGAGTTCATTGATTCTTCCCACTACTACTTTTAGGGCCAATTCTGCTACAAATGTTTGCTACAATTCTCCTCCCTCCAGAAAAAGGCTCTGTCCATTCCCATGTCTTCCTCTCTAGTGCAAAGGATCTCCATGTGTTTTCCCATTTCCCTCATTCAGAGTAAAACAATTTTATATTGTATTAAAATGATGGGAAGAACCAAGGTGAAGGATATTTTTCATGCTAAAAATTACAAAAATCTGCCATCAGCCAACAGTTAGAGATATCTAACCCTGGTAAGCTGAAAGTCAGTGTTAGAGAGTCCTTGTGAGCACAAGGACTAATTCTGCCCTTGATTGTTTGTGTTATGGGTTGGGTTTTTTTCAAAATCGGTAGAAGGCTGCCTGCTGATGCACAGCATAGCTCCTGCTTTTATTAGATTGCATGATGCTGGTCCTTGTCATAGACAAAGAAAGAATTATGATCAAATTTCACCCAAGTCCCATTCAGTCAAATGTGAACCAGGAGAATACAGGGCAGCCTTTTATTTTTGCTAAACTCATTTAATACATGTAGGCAAGTTTGGTAGTTTCACTTCCCCCACAGTATATGCACATGACAGCTATAAGTTTGGCAGAAAGAATCAAGGCATATTTGAATTAGCATTGAATTAGCATTAAAAACACTTGTGTCAGATTTTATAAGGAAGCTATTAGAAAAAGATGTAAAACCATTATCAGCTCACATGCATTACCTGCTGCATTGTGTTGATGATACTCGATGAGCTCAGGAATGGATGAGAAGACATAATTTTCTGCTACATAATATTGTCCTGAGTGATTTTGTTTAATTTGATAATGTAGAATATTTCCATTATGACTTCTGAAATCAACAAAGCATTAGAATTTTCAGTAAAAATAATTTATACTATAAATCTGCTTAAATTTCACTATGAAAACAGAAAAATCTGAAAACTTGGGACACAGTTCTCAGCTGAGAATGGCTGTGTCTTGCTGGGACACTGTTTCAAGAGAAAAAAAAAAAGACTTTTGTTGCCAAAGTATTTTTTTACCCCTGTATCAATGCATTCATAAGAAATAGCCACAGTGTTTAAGAATTGCTTCTCCTCATTTAACATTCATTTGAACACAATATCTTGAAATTAAAATGTTACAAATTACCTGCATTTTCTTCCAAAAAACTTAAACACATATTCATGTATAGCATGAGATTAAATTTTTAGTTCCACTTCTTCAAAGGGTCTTCATTGGAGTTTTTATTTGACACCTTTGTTTTTCTGTATTTCTTCTCATTATCTGTCTTTTTTGTTTTCTGTGTATTTTGCTGTCTGCTTATCCCTGCTTTCTGTGACACTCAAAATTAAGCAATTAAGTCTGCATTTCAGACTGGTGGTTGCTGAAGGTTAGTACTCTAAATTGTGGACACAGCAAGCAGAGTTCAGAATACAGAGACATTATACAGTCTGCATTACTGAGTCATTGTCAGAAACACTACTGAGCCTACAGAAATTGTGAGCCTGACCCCAGCACAGGGATGGTGGGGAAGGCTGGCCCCAGATTTCCAAGGCGGGAATGGAAGGAGGGAGGAAGAGGGTGGATGTAACAGCAATGCCTTAGCTGCTCTCACCTCTGGCTTGCTGTAAGAAGAAGAGAAGGAAAGCAGACACAGTTGATACAGGGGGATGTGGGAGGGCTGAAGAAAAGGGTATGAGACAGCTTGAAATAGGTTAAGTCAGTTCTGTAGGTGATTGCTCCTGATATGGGCAAGTGTGAATCCTGTGGCTGTTGTCCAGCAAAAGTAAGATTGCACAGTAGGGGTGAGATGATTTTGGGAGACAAACAAGTGAAGTTTGAGCACAGAAGTGTCTGGGATGGATTTACAGTGCACAGAGATGTGGAGAAAGGAAACAGTTTGGTGCAGTGGCCAAAGGCTGTGGCATGGTGTCCACAGCAGATCACTTGAGAATTCCAGTGAGTGCAGGTAATCCTGTCTTGCCAGGACCTTTGCACACTGACTCCCAGATCCACCACCCCCTTGATCTTGTCTGCACACAGGGTGATCAACTCTGCATGAACAGCATCCCTGTGGTTCCCTGCTCCTGTGCACTGCATGTCCAACCTATCCCATTATTCTGAGGAGTCTGGAGGAAGCTTTTCCATCACCACTTGATTGAGACCCTGACCATTCAGAGGAACTCACCCCTTAGCCCGTGAATACATGGACAGCGTAAGAAGACCCTGCCGGCTTGAATCCCTGACAACAAAGGCACCTTCTTTGGGCTGAAAAGAAATCCAAGTAGAGTTATTTTATGCTTTTGAGCTTCAGTAATGCTCCCTTGAGACAGGACTTGCAGCTGATTACCAAATTCTGTAGAATACCTATGACTATTTGGGAGGAAGATCAAGAAGTGGAGAACAGGAATGGATAGCCAGGTACACAGCAGAGCAAAATAAACCAAGAGAAAATAATAAGTGCCAGGAAACTTTAAGATATAAGTAATTTAGCTGAATTATACTCTTCAGTGTGAGGTAGTGAAAATGCTTCAATTTATTAAAAAATCAAATTGTACAAATCACTAGGAAAAAAACTCCAGTTAAAACATTTTTTTTTCTGAGATGTTCTTCCTTGATCTTTCTTGCCCTAGGCCTGAGCAAAGATCCAATGAGTTTGACTGAGTTAGGCACTTTGGTAACTGACAGGGGGTAGAATGCAATGTGGATTGTTTGCTCTCTATTTAAGGAAGATGCAGTGGTTTGTTAAATTCTGCTAAACTTGGAGCTAATTAGCTAACTACATGGATTTCAGTTTTTAATGTCTAATGTAACAGACAAGCACAGTAAGGCACATAATTTGATTTATCTGGCATGGAAAATCTACATAGAATTTGCTGGGGCTACAACTTAAAGCTTTGTGAAGTCTGGATAGTCTGCACTTTACACTTACACCAGCAAGTCTTTTCCTTTTAAGGTAGAAATCTTAAAATGTACTTTTCTCTCTTACAGAATACCAAACAGATTTTGATTTGACTGTGATAATGCTCCTGATGCCTCTACTGATAGGTATTTTTCAGTACTGTTAGCTCTATGTGTAAGCTGAATTACCTTCTGGTGCAAAAGAAGTTCGGCCTGGCTTCTGTTCATGTTTCTGCAGTACCACCTGCAACAAGGACATAGCCTATCCTTAATTTCAGACAGTAAAAATGAATGTTTGCTTTGTTTCACAGTTTAGTAGTTGCATTATTCCAAGTCAAAAAAATGTTTAGAACTATCATTGTATATGAATATATCTTAATTTGGAATGATTTTATTAGACTTTTTTTTAGAACTTTTTGGCCCCAATTTACTGTGACTAAATATTAGCTCAAAAAAAAGAAGAAAAAAATTATGCCAAAATGTGATGAAATTTACAGTCCTGGATAATGTGTCAAGTCTTTCTTCTCTACAATTTTTCAGAATTTTAATCTTCTCTCCAGTAATTAAATTTTATAGTAGTTGGAATTAGCTACATGCTCACAACAGGCAAAGATCAGAATACAGAAATATTATGCATTGAGTCTACAGAAACAGGAAAAATCTGGATTCTGACACTATGATTCATGTACATTAATGTTAATTCATTTTAAGAGTAATGTTTTGTATTAAAAAAAAGAAAGCTTTTGATAAACATGTTCATGTCTAATAAAAATTTGAAGGCTCAAACATTAAAATGTATTTCTGCAATCCATTTTTAAAAGTAAAAGCCCAATTATAATTTTCAAAGGTACTTACTTGTATGTTTCTAAATTGCTTTTCTTCTCTGTAACATAGTTGCTGGGAATTAGACCTTCATTCCTGAAACAACATATTGGGGATAATAATATAGTATGGTGTAAAAGATAAGTAGGATTAAGATATACATCATCCTTTTGTTGAATTACAAGGATACCTTATCCTGGGGGCTATGTTGCTGGATAGTGAATTCCAGCATTAGAACTGAATAAAAATTTGAGTCCTTTCATCCCAGGCACAACCTTTTTGTCCCATGACTGTGGATTGCTACTCAGATGAAAAAGGTAGATGGTACAGGCTGAGATTTAGGAAAAAAAAAAATTTCTTCTGAACCAAAAGCCACCATCTTTTATTTCTGGCCTATAAAACCTCCTATATGAAGAAATACAAAGTGTGTGCTTGCTTGTGTGTTCAAAATAGTTGTCAGTATACTTTTGCTGAAAACATAAGTTGAGAAAAAGCATTTAAAATATTTAAAGGACAAATCTGAAGGGAAAGGAGATGGTTATAATATAACATACAACCATTCCCAATATCAGAGTACAGGATATACTGAAGATAATGCAAGGGAGAAAGGGGAACAACACAAAACAAACATAAGTGTGAAAAAGATTCTAATTGAAGTTATCGAGTTCTCTAAAATAACCAGGTATTTTGGGGAAGAGGTTATGTTTCAGGTATGTCTTCATAATCTCTGTGGTTTCATAAAGTTTTTATACATCCATGCTCCATTGTAGAGCATTTGGAATATGGAAAGCTGGATTTTCACATGGCCCAGAGCCCAGTGATTCACATGGTCTTCAAACACCCTTATGTGGCTCAGGAACTTACTGAGTGTAGGGCTTAACTCTGAATTCCCAACAGATTCTAATTCCCTGTGCATTTCTGGGGTGCCAAGCCCTGCTGAAAGTCTGCCCAGTCATCCTGTGTGCCTCACATATAGTTGAACAATTTCAAGCCTGTTCCTGAATAGTCCCATAAGTCTCATTCTATCTACCCACTTTTGCACAGCTTGCTTTAGGCTTTTTTCTTTCTGTGAAGGGAGATTGAAATAGATGCCCTCTCTCTTACCCATGTTGGTCTCTTGCCTTCCACCAGAGGGGATCATACTGTTCCAGGATGATGTATTCTTCTGATTTCTTGAGAGGTAAATCTAAAGGCCCTCTAGCAAAGAAGTCATAGAGTGCAATAACTCTGGGTTTGTCCGTGTAGTCTTCAAAGGCCTCAGGAGGCAGAGGAGGTAATGGCTTGTCCTTAAACTGTAATTGTCTCTTGTGCTGCTGAAAAATCAAATTATTTTTCATAACTAGACTTTTCTCTCTAGTATAGATTGCTTAGTTACTCTTACTCTGTAATTTTTATGCAACAAAGAACTTTATATGCTCAAGAGCTAGTTACTCCCCTGCTTATTCTGGTGCTGAGCCAGTGTGTGTCAATTCTCTCTTTTCACCTGCCAAAATGTTACTTACCCCACACTTCCAAATAGATTCATAGGAAACATCTGGTTGTGAGGCAGAGTACTGGGTCACCAGGACAGTGTCAGGGTCCAGGTTCACTTTTGTTCTCATTTCCCTGATTTTGAAAAACATGAAGCATTGGTGTGAATGCCTACCTGTAAACATCCACATAAAAATATCCATGGCCATACATGCCTTTCTTCATTAGGGATATGCAGAGTACAGTGTCTTTAAACTTCCACATATTTGCTCTTCTACTGCAAATAGAGGGACTTTAAGAAGTCCTTTATGTGTAGATATTTAATTACTGAAAAGTTTAGGCATTTCACATACCTTTCTTGCACTGAGCAGCAGCAGCAGCAGAAAACAGACTGGATGGTGTGATCTGTGAACAAGAACAATTCCCATATTTTCAGTGTTCCTGTTTGTTTGCTCACAAAACTTACAGAATTAAGGACTATCCTATGTGCTTACACCCACTGTTAGCTCTGTCTTGCTGTGAGATATCTAGCAAATCATTGCAGCTGAATTTGCAGCCACCAGAACAAGCAGATCTTTCCTACCACTGGCTCCCTTACAATGTTTTGGCAATCATGAGGCTATATGTATGAGCTAAATCAGCTCACTAAATCAGCAAAAATAAATAATAAAAAAGATACGTTTTCAGCCAAATTCATACCAATTTAACTGATTACACCACCCTGCACAAGCTCTACCTAGTGCAGTGAGGGGGATGAGAATCTTGTCAGGGACAGGAGGTAGAGAACTGTCCCCTTCAGCACTGACATAATTTTTAGATTATTCAAGCCAAATACAAAACCACGTTTGTATGACAAGCTTTTCTTTATTTTGAGATTTATTAAAGGAGCCACACTATATTAACTCCTCTGAATTAATACTGATTTTCCTGTTTCTGTTGCAGCCATTAATATAATAAATGCACTAGCCTAGGTTTGAAGTGCAGAGAGAATATGTTCTTTACACTTGCATGTCAAGGGGCTGATAACCCAATTCTTTATAGAATTGTTTCTAAAATCCAAAATGCATTGGATACATCATCACAGACATCAAAAATTTAGAGAGAAACCAATCCAATCTATCTTGTATGCAGCAGAGAGGATATGATATTAAATATGTTGGAAGGCATTAAGAAGATTTGAGTGAAGTAAATAAATGGTTGACACTTGGTCCACTCCTGCCTAGGCTGCCATGTACCTTCCCCAGTTTGTGTTCCCAGAGCAGATTGAGCTAAGCTGCAGCAGTTATGGCCCTGTACTCTTTCCCTCTCCACCTCATCTCACCTCATCTCATCTCAAACTGACCAAGACAGGATGCTAAAAGGGCAGGTACTCCCTTTTTACTGGGTCAGATCCCTGAAGTGTCACCACTGGGCAGGTGGGAGGGCAGCAGCAGCACCTGCAGGACAGACTCAGGTTCTTTTAAGAAGCATGACAGTCAGGGATGGAGAGACAAGGTTCCCCTCATATTCAGCAGTACTAACACAAAATAAACTTTATATCCCACTATAATGTGTCCTATTTTTCTCTGCCACAGATGTCATAGTTTGCAAAGAGGCCTCGGATTTTTATTTGAAATAGACTTCCCAAGGTCTCAGAATTTAGCTGCTTTGTATTTCATATGATATTTCTTTGTGCAGTCCCACCTGTTCCTTCCACATTATTTGTTTTGCCCTTGTGGCACTTTTGCATTGCTGATCCTAATGACTTAACCCAGCCTGGAATACATAGGATGTCCCTTCTGGTGTCCTGTGAGACTTTTTGCCACTGCCTATGACCAACTGAAAGCCAAATGTGGTAAGAGTATGAATATTAGCATTCAAACAATTAAGCAACCTTACCACATAATGAAAATGTAGTTATTTTCCCTATGAAGGTACACAGCATAGCAAATCTTGTGCTAATAAAAGAAGTGAGAATGTTGGATGTCCGAATGATAAGACCAAATCTAGTTCTTAGTTGGAAGACCCCTGTCTCATAAGTGGCTTGCTTAGACTGTCTTGAAAGTCATGGTGAAGTTTCCCTTAGAGGCTGCTGAATCCTGTGAAGAATCTATTGTGTGGGAAATGGATGACCTGACAGTAATCAGAAGACACCATCAATTGTTTGATAAAAGTTTCCAGTGACAGCTGTGGAAAATGCAGCAAATAAAAATACCCAAAGCAGCTGACAGCAACAATTCTCTTCAAAGCAGCCAGACTAAAAAGATACTGTCAATGAAGTTCATTTGCTGCATAATTGTCCAGTGTACATTGAATTGTCCCTTGGCCATTTAAACCTGCCTTATAAGTAGTGAACACTGTGGGTGGAGAAATACTTGGGTTTCTTTTATTTCAGCCAGTGACATGAAGTTTAATCAATGTCTATAAAGCATGTCATTACTTGCAAATAGGAACATGATATTTGAAAACCTGTTTCTTCTCATTGAACCATCTAGTCTAATTAAATACATTATTTCTCTTCAGTTTATTTGCTCTCCATGTAAAACATTTACAATAAATAGTTAGAAAGAGCATTGCAGAATTTCTTTGTAACACTAGAATAATCTTCTAATTAGATTTTAAAGATTTGCCTGTTAGCTTGAAAACGAGGGGTTCAGACAGATGCCATAGATGTGTAATTCTGTCTCGTTTTCTTTATGAGCCCAGTAATTTGAGTATATTTATAGTGTAAGGTCAGGAATCCTTTTTGCCTTCAGTGAATCTCAGACTTGTTTTGTTAATGGATGATTTTTATGTCTGACCCCCTCCTTTTACTGTGCTAAAAGCTATTAGTAATAAATGACTGTATGCGACATTTTAGAAAATACCCTAAGCATATATGATATTGAATGTTTATCCTCTTGTCCTATCCATGAAACCACAGAAAACTTATAGGCTGAAGCTGAAATGGTGATGTTTCTTCCTGGGACATGTGCTTCATTTGTTGAGCAATTTTTCCAAGGACAGTGTGTGTAACCTAATAAAGATGACAAAATAGGAGATGATAAATTCTGCAGACGGTTAATTAAGGCTCAGATTAGATTAAGGCCATGGATCAGACAAGACCACAATGAACTGAATTGCAGGATCTGGAGGAGCAGCACAAACTTTGCACAGTTCTACCAAAGTTTAGTTGTCCTCATTCACTCCATTGGAGCATTTTAAGTGTGAAATCACAGCCTATCAATCCAGCAGATATCATCCTAAAGCAGATATTTCCAGTTCTTTGAGAATTAATTTGTCTTTATACATCTTTTCTCAGCAACCTCAGTCACTTCTGAAATTCTTTTGTCCCTGCATTACTCCTAGAGTATTTGTGGAATTAATTCAATAGAAATTAGTGCAAGTGCAAATTAATGCAGTGCAAACTGTACATTTCTGCTAGGAAATTTGCCAAGGCTGCAAGGAAACATTATCAAAGCCCATAGAAAAAGGCCTTCAGCTCTGCAGAGCTAAGTCCTGCTTTAGTTAAATTGACTTAAGGCCAAAAGCTTTGACCTGATGGCTTGGAATTTCAGTTCTCAAGCAAAGACTCATGTCCTGATCTATGCATTTTATATCTTTCCTGGTCATTGGTAAGCTTCTTGAACTACACTTTTCACTCCCAATTAAATTCATATTTATTAAGTTCAAAACTTACTTCAGAAAGTAGGCCCAAACTGTGATGCTGTTTTAGAAAGACTTGGCCAACACTACAGACAGGGAAAGCTTTGATACACTGAGTGAATAATTTAACTTGCTCTCCTCGTGGCCAAGGGAGATGCTGACACTGAGGGCTGCACGGCAGTGCGCGCTGTCTTGCAGCAGGAAGATGGCATTTCCTGCCTGACACTTCTCACCCCCACATGCACTCTCTCATGTCTTGTGCTCTTCCTTCCTTTCTCTTTTCTCAACACCCATCAGAAAAACTAAGAAAGAATTATAATACTTAAACTCCTATATTCCAATTTTTTAAAAGCTATAATTTAAAATACAAATACATTGATAACAGAATTTACTCATTTAAACCATTTCTTCTTGATTATCCCTTCTGCTAGATCCCTGAAATCAGTGGAACAATTCTGATTTCCTTTGATTTTTCACCAAGGGCATTTTCCTAAGCAAAACACTGAATTTGTCAAGGAATGTTAGAGTCATGTATTAGCTGGCCTAGATCCCCTGGTCCCCAGCTCAAGTAACCACACTGAAGAGTTCATAATTTAAAGATTAGTCACAGATGGTATCACTGAGAGTTGTGCTTCAGCAAGGAAATCACACTTTGGATTCCATATTTGGAAGAGAACAGAGAGACCAGTTAGATTTGCCATGTAATGAATTACAAACTGCTTGGACATGACACAGGAAAGAAATACAGGCTAAGAGGAAGAAATAGTCCATAATCTTTAACAGTAAATTAATTTTGAAGTATGTTAAAATAAAGTACTTATAGAGCCAACAATTACTTTAGATTCCACTTCTCTGTTTCCTACCTAACCAAAAAGCTTCCCATAACTTAAAAACAATAAAAAAAAGTAATCAAATCTTGCTTCTTTTAAATCCATACCAAGGAAGATTTCTCCAGCATCCACAGCCCCATTAAATCTTCCAGCTCACATTCACTTGAGTTCTATCACAACATAAGCTATGCACACATGTTGCTTTGATCCTTAGGGTACATCATGATGGAACAACTAAACTCACTAGTTTAAAACCTAGGTTTAAATTAAACAAGAAGAGTATTTGAGGTGTTGAATCTAGAACTTGCCATCTTCCTTCTTCAACTGTATAGAGAATTTTTCATTTCTGCCATTTTTGATGAAAGCTCACTACCTTAGACAAAGTTATTTAACACAGGAACAAACAAATACAGTGTATTTCACTGCTAATGTCTTTTTCTTTCTGGAAATGAGCAGTTTAGGAGGAAGACACTTGTTTATAAAGCAGTGTCACATTATCTCCCTGATGACAGGCAAGCAAGCAGAAATCCCAACATTAGCAAGAACCATGACAGTTCTGTACATCAGACCTATTAGGATGCTCTGTTTCAAAACAAGAAATAACCACAGCACGAGAAGCATGTGGCTAAAGTAAAAACACTAGGAAAGTGGTGTTGAAGCTAATCTGACAAATATTCAGCCTAAAAATGTGCAGCTGACATTTTGATAACCAACTTTTGAGTCCTGGAAATAAGTTTATCTGTGCACAACAGAGCAGATGGGATGCAAGAGGAAGAAGAAAAAGATGGGTCAGCTGTCAGGAACAGCCATTCGCTTAAGCAGCTTAAAGAGAGTCTCATGAGAAGAGAGGAGGTAGAGTGAAAACACATCATGGCCTGATACAGTCCCACAACACCCAGAGTACACTTTGGGTTGATAATGTTGTCTGTATACATGGCAAATTCACACATATATGTGCAATCTTCCTCCCATCCTCAGTTGTTACTCACTGTAAATGGCAGCTTTAGGAAAGTAACATCAAAGACAAAAGCAACAAGTTAGAAATTATTTTTTATCATTTCCATTTTATAACTTTGCTATTTCACCATTTTCTTCATTTGAGAAGAAAATCCCTTTTTCTGAATCAGCTTCCCAAAGTGCTACTAACACTGAAGACACTCCAGTCCACATCTAAGGTTTGCACTCTTCCACCATTTTTTGCTAGAAGCTCTTGCTCTTGCAATGGAGCAGAAGATTAACTGTGTTCAACACTACAAACTCAGCTTCACCCACCTTTGCTGTAACACAGTGTGCCTCCTGGTCTGGTCTGTCAGTTTTCAACATTACTACAAAAATCAATAACCTGGTAGAAAGTCACAGTATAGTTTGCTTCTAAAATAACTTTAAAATACAAGCTTTCAGGTTTAGATGTGTGCAAGCTGAGGCTTCCTGTCTTTCCTGTGAGTTAACTCTACTCTGGAGGAAGGACAGGTTTAGTTCTACCAAACTCTCTATCCATGTCCAGGTCTATGCAGTTCACAAGTTTAAGAACAGTATTTGGAAACATCTCCCTATCTATATGTAAAATCAGTTGCTTTGCTAAATCTGATACAATCTATTAATATTTGTGTGTTAATTTTGAAAGTCAAAACAAGCAGTCTTAACAGAGATCCCCTTAGCAGTGCAAGAGAAAGTAGATTGATATTTTTATGGCAATATTTAAATACTTCATTTGCTAAGCACACTGCTTTTGCACAAAACAAAACTACAACATCAAAATATGCAGCCAGCTTTACTTACAAGTAGAAAGAATCATGTCTGGTTATCCGTTTATATTAAAATGAAAATGCAAACCTCCCTTCATCAGCTGTGCCAGTAAAACAGCCCAAACTGAGCTCTTTCCTCTGATATGAAGCATGGTAAACCACAAATATTGCTTGACCACGCCTACTCACTTTTTATTTAAAAAAAAAAAGACCCAAACAGAGTAGAAGGAGAAAAAATGGTCTAGTATCAAACATTTTATAGAAAAAAAACTTATTAAACTGTTACCACTAGGTCTAACTATTTCTTTTAAAAAAAGTAAAAAACCCACAGCAGATATAAATCACAGAATGGTTTTGTTCAAATGGATTTTTGACCCCAACATTTGACTGAATTCAGTTATAATAAAAATGGGAGAAAGGGCTGAAGTTGCTCAAGGATGACTGAGCTCATCCAGAAGAAAGGATGCTACAGCATTACAACCTGCCTTTGAAGATTCCAGGAGAGTCAGCAACACAGCTGCCTCCAGAGGAGTTCTGATCCTTTCTAAAATTAACCACCTAAGGCTACATTAAATAAAAAAAATTAATTCATCTAGAAACTGGGTGCCTCAGAGTTCCTGACATCCTAAGTATCAACCCCAATACCAAGTAGGCAGAAATTATCTTCAGGTACTGGGAAGAGGCAGGTGAAAGAGTCAGATTCAAAGCACCCATCTCACTGAGAAAACTGCTGCCAAACCTCCACACAATTAGGGTGTGTTTTATAATATAAATTAATGATAAATAATTAATTATTGCAAAGAAATAGGCTTAAGGTTCATTGCAAGCAATTAATCTGATTTTCCTAAGCTTCATTTGGATTTTAAGGGAAACATTATCACTTATTACATGACGTGTTGTTGAAAGAGTTAGCAGCACCATACTTTGGAGGATCCTAAGAGAAAGTGAGGTTCAAAGGAGCAGTTAGGGAAGGAAACATGTGCTTGGCTTACCTTAAATGTTCCACATTGCTTTTTCCACTACTTTTTCTACCAGGTAGAGTAGAAATGCCTAGATTTTCCCTTTCAACAATACTTGCTGTTGGTATTGATTGGAGAGTGGTTTTGGACTCAGCAATTTGACAAGTTAGTTAGCATGGTTGGAATAATCTCTGAGACTTTGTCATGAAGGAAATAGGCATTTGAACCTTTCTGGCAGCCTGTAGCTTTTCAATAGAATAGCATCAGAAAAGGAAAGCACTTCTCCCAAGAAAGAGGAGGCTTCCTCCTTTTGAACATAAAGGCAAACATTAAGCAAAGCAGTGTGGGAATCTAAACATCTCTAAAATTGATTACTCCATGCAATGTATTAAGCTAACTATGGTTGCCCTTAATAACTTCATTGAAAATTAAATTCATCGTACTTCTCTCTGACTACTTGCAAAAAAAACTTTTGGTGCAATCTATTTGCTATTATATGTGGCACAACAGCACAAGTAGCAACAGAAAATGAAAAATTTTAATAGAGCTCCTTAGAAAGTGACTACAGTGAAACAGGAGTACAAATAGTCCTCATATGCACTGCTACAAAGTGAGGTTAACTGAAGTAGGCTTCAGTAAGACTGTGGAGATGTTAGCCTCCAGCAGTGGGGACAGGGCATGTAACTTCCAAGGAGAGTTCAGGTAATGCTGAACATTTCATCATGGCCAAACTCATTTAAATATGCATTCATTCTACCATATACATATATATAAAAAAAGAGAGAGTGTATGTATACACACCAAAGTGTATATATATACATATATATATATATATCTATATGTGCATATCTGTATATTCATATATACATGCACTACCAAAATGCCATATTCATGTGAACAATTAGTTGACTTATGATGCATTGACAGTAAATTATAGGCTAAAAATTAGTTGGTTCCAAACAATAATTAAGATTCAGTTTATTTACACACACATGCAGTATGATATCTTCTGTCATGAACTGAAAGGTTAGATCACTGTATGTACAGACAACAGACAGAAACATGAGCCCTCCTTAAACACATTTGAGAATTTCTTTCATTTACAGCTCCTTGTATAGAATTGCGTGTTTAAGCGTAGGAAGGAAAAATTTTTGCCTGAACATTTCAAGAAAAAAAACCCCCACTTTATATAAATAAATGCATTCAATTTATATATTTACAGTACATACAGCATATAAATAATTTTCTAATTGATCCAAAACATGGTACTATGGTTCACTCACAGCCAGTTGTGAATCTTGGACTTATTTTTCATTAGTAACATGAAGACTAAGCATGGGAGATCTCTGGTAAGCCAACTTTACAATGACCCCAGGCATACCATGGCTCATGAAGCACAGCTTTTAGAGTGTTGTGCTAAACTGAGCTGGCAACAACTTACTATGTGCAAATGAAAGAGGTGCATTTCATCTTCTTGATTAACACCCATCAACCAAGAAAAAGAACGTTTCTGGAGAATCTCTGGAAACATTTCAGTGTCAGTAAAAAGCTATTTATAGATACCTTCCATTTTTAAGCATGCAAATCACTACTAATGCTACTGCCCATGTAAGGAGAAACCCAGAAACGTGGACTGTATGTACATGGACCCAACCCACTAAATACAAACGAGGTTCCTGACCTCTGGCCACATTTTCTCCCTCCATTAAGAGTGAACTTTACAGCTATGCTGACTGTTCAGAGATAATACAGAGATTGCTAATATTGCTGAAGATACTGTGCTCATTTCCCAACATAATGGAAAATTCTCCTTGTCCTGGAGTGCATCAGATATTACAGGTTCCCCGCATTGTTTATTTAGCAGCATCCAACAGCTTACAGGATCAAGTTCTTAAAAAGAAACTATGAAGGCACATATCTCTGGTAAGTGCCTTATTTTCTCTGCTTGTGCTGCTGTTGCCTTTTTTCAAAAAGCATCTTCGCCCTCTGCAATGTCAATGATTGCATGAAGCAACTCTTCAAAAGTTGGGCGTTCCTCTGGTTTCTAAAAATAAAAAGCATGCACAGATGTTATCAGAAATCAATAAAGTTGTGTTGATTTTGATAAATTACTGGACATATCATCATTCTTTGGTGAGGAATTTAGCATTTCATTAAGTATTAAATGTAAAAATATTTCCTTGTCTGGATTTTGGCATGTGCCACTTAATCTCAGTAAGCAACAATTTTCTTTATGCTTTGAAAAAGGCATAAATAGATGTAGCTGGACTACACTCTTTATATAATTCATTATTTTGCATAGTTTTACATATTTTTATTTTTCTTCCCCATTCCCACTCTTCCCCAATGAACTGCTCCAATCTTTCTTTATGCAAGTTGTTCATGCTCCTAAGAATTCTGGGTGTCATTCACTGATGCCTCTTTTAAATCAACTATATTTTCTTACCTCTGAAATGAGAAATGATTTAATTTTGTTACTAAATGCCTTCATGTACTTAATCTGACTGTTGATTTATTTCATAGAGATTTCTTCAATGTTTTGTCTTATCAGAGCTCTAGTTCAGTTGCACATGAATAGCTGAGAGACCTGGATGCATTCAGAACACTGCTCTAGAGAAAATAACTGCTGTTTCTAGACCAACCTTTATTTCAGTTCAAAGACCAAAAAAACTTTAAATATATGTATATGAATACATACCTCCTGCCAGCACATCATCATCATTTCATACATCTGCTTACAGGCCAGTTTGGGCCGATACAAGCGATGTCCTTGGCTAACCATTGTTACCACTTCATAGTTGGAGCTTTTTTCAAAAGGCATTTTTCCTTCTGTATATACTTCCCACATTAAAACACCTGGGGGGGAAAAAAAAAGAAAATAAATAACTTCTTAAACATATGTGTTCATTAAACATGTGTGTTTATTTTGAGCCCTGGACTCAGGCTTTCTGATAGATAAATAGTTTTAGATCCATATTCTAGACACTTTTCACATGTGTCATCACTGAAAATGTGTTATTCTAGTAGCATGGGGTTTAATGAATAACAGAACTAAATGTGTCTCTGGAACTTTATCACTAATAAAATCATGGCAAATTATTTCTCTGAGCTTCTTCTCAGATGTTTGAATCCTTCCCAATAACCAGAGCTTAACTGCTACAGATAAAATATAAAAAATACACTTTCATTCCATGATGAATATCTTACCAAATGACCAGACATCTGACTTGCTGCTGAATCGGCTGTAATTAAAGACTTCTGGGGGACACCATTTCACAGGAAATTTAGCCCCTGAAGAACTTGTGTACTGGTCATCAAGGACATACCTAAAAAAACCCCACAAAAAAACAAAACAAAAACACCACCACAAAAAAAAAAGAACAAAAAAAAAATAACAAAAAAGAAAGGAGAGACAAGGAGAGACATTATATCCTTCTGTCAGCCTCCAAACCTGCAAATTTTAATTTAGCTTTGGATTGGAGTACTAGAAGCTCATATTGCCACCTAATGGCCATGGGCGTTAGCATCACAAGATAAAAATAGCTTCCCTGGGGCAGTACTACTGCTTCAGCCACGACTCTGTTCATTTTTCATATTACCCCAGAGTTCTTTCTTGTGATTTATTAGCTACACAGCACAGGTCTAGGCCACCTGCTAGTTAAACGTCTCTATTATGAGAGAAAATGAGGGAAAAGCAGAAATTTGATGTTCTGTTTTTCAGCAGCCAATCTGAGTTCAGTTGTCAGGGGACATAGAAACTTAGCAAGACAGAGATGTGGCAAAAGTCAAACCACGGTGCTTTAACACCTTTCTTGGAAGAGCTGCTCCCACCACTGCCTCACCAACACATCACCCACGCAGGCACTAACAAGGGCAGGAAATTAACCCCCCTCCAGATCTCAGCATCTCCCAGCCCTTCAGCCAGCACAACTTTGAAACATCGAACCCAAGAGAGACCCAAACTCACTGAATAGCCTCTTTCTAACATCTATTTAACAAAATACAGTTTAACTATTATCTCTGCAGCAGCTCTGCTCTCTGAAACACAAACTCTGTCTTTTTTTAAATGAGTAAGGAAATCAACACAGAACCAGCAAGCATTAAAGACACTAGAAAAGAAAAAAGCAAAGCAAAGCCCAAAA